TGTAAGGTCCCAAATACCTACTTTACAGGGGACTAAGGTGTCATCGCCCTGTGTACAATGTTTCTTGCATCTTATATCTTCTTCAGTAAATGTCTCCATTTCTCATATTACAGGTCTGGTTACCTTCTGGAAAGACTATTGTGTGTGTGTGTGTGTGTACGCGTGTGTGTAGACACACACATATATATTTCAGAGTATATATATGTAAATGTGTATATATTTCAGAATATATACCTATTCTGAAATAGCTGAAAGTTTGAGGAGTTTATAAAGTTATCATATCCTTAGCCACAAGTATGCAATAATGGAAAAGAATTCCAGAAACCTCAAAACTTAGCTCTGTTTACATGTAATTATGTCAAAACCAGCTTTTATATTTGATGCTATCTTAAGAAAACAACTTTGAGAGTGCCCTATATCCTACTAAAACTTAAAAACAGTCTAAAACATTTTATTCTTTTTAGATGAAATTTACTGAGAGGATTAAAACTTTGCACTTGAACATAATGGCCACTCTAATACTTTAAATAGACAGCATTTTTGTCAAGGACACCATGTATGCCGTCCTGGGGTATCACCCATTCGACTACAGCCAAGCAGTTTAATGCATTCTGTAGCCAGAACTCTTTATTAGATAACAAGGTTATCAATAGCTCCATTAAAATTCTGAACACTGTGAATATTTGTGAATTCTTCCTTAAAATGCTCACTTCCACTCTTTTTGTAACATTTCTACAGCATTACAGATGTCTCTATATTCTTCTAGCTTCCCAAGTTGCTGATTGTTATAATACATTTCAAACAGTGAAATTTAATACAAATATGCCCCCAAGTAGCAAGGTTTCTTGATGAATTGCAATGCATTGCTCTTGGCTATGATCTGTCTTCATTTTGGAACATTTTTACTTTTCTATGAAAACACTCGTTGGCCCCTCAAATCAATTACTTTTACTTATACCTCTACATTTAGGAAGAAATCTCTCAGAAGGAAAGGTAGGGAGGAGGGAAGCTGTTAAGAAGACACCTGACAGTTTTGCCTTCATTCCGTCTCAGAGAGGGTGCGTTCTTCCAGCACAGCCCCCAGCTTCCTCCCTTAGTGCCATTTCCCATCCGAGTTCCTAGTGATGACACACGTGATGCTCGTGGTGAAAGTTATAAGGGGGCATGGGGAGCACGCCAGTAAGATCATGTGAAAGTCCCCTTTCTCCATATAGTATATGGAGAAATTTATAATCTCTTTGACCTTCACTTTTTACACACTGCTTGTGTCTGTACTTGCAGCTGAAAAAGAAACAGAACTGAAGACGATGTGGGCTGAAGGACCTGGAAATAATCCCATCGCAACAGTGTCTTGTCTTCTTTTTCTTGCCTCTAGGTCATGATGACCAGCTAGGGTGCATCGAAAAACAATTCCTGCATATGCACTCAGATCTCTTGCTTGGTTCTTCAACATCCCCAGACTGTGCGGCTCTGAATTTGATTCAGCAAACATGCAATGGGTAGTACTAACAACTGAGGGTATACAGTAATGAAAAAGGTAATACATCTACTTTCATAGAATCTATGTATATCTCTCTCTAACCAAATTATAAGTTTGATGATTGCTACATATCATTCATTTTTGGTCCATGTGAGAAAGTTCTGTAATAAATCTCTGATAGAAAGTGAATTGAATGCACTCTGCATTCCACAATGAGGTTATTAGTTTGCAAGAGAGAAAAAAAATACATTGCTAGGATGGCTTTAAATTGCTCATGTATAACAGATGGAGTTTTCACAATGAATTTATTCTTTGAGGGGGTGTTTGAGTTCAGAAACTTTACATCAGAGAAAGCTAGTAGCAGCCTGGCATTGAAGTCTCCCACCTTTTCCCTCCTCCTATCTGAAGGAAAGGAACTCACTCTTCTGTTGCTTCTCCCTCCTTCTAAAGAAAATAAATCAGATGAGGAAAAAGCTCTGATGTTCAGGAGGTGAGAACTTGGAAGGCTTAAGAAAGGACTATAGGCATAACTGCAAGTTCTAGGAAGAAAGAAAAAGGAAAAAGAAAGAAGGGGAAGAAATGGGTATATGGGAAAGAAGTTAAAGGAAGGACAAGCTTGGAACCAGAAGGGAGACTAGAAACATGGCAGTGTTTACCTGTGACATTCCCTGGAGACCCCAGCAGTGAGGCTTTGCCTTGCAAGGTTTAAAAGAACAAGGAAGTTGGCTGAAGGGTACAACATCTGATTTCCTCTACCCGGAACCCCTATATTCACCCAGTGGTGAGGACCCTCAGCATTCTCTCTGTGCACTGCTGGTTGGCTAAACTTACCTACCCTCAGACCTGGCTGAGAAATGCTGAAATGGATCCCTCTATTTCCTGTGCCCCCTGCCCCCACCAAGTAGTTAGCGACTGCTCTCTCCATCTTCCTCGCCTTACAAAAGCCTAAGGAAACAGCACCTCACACACACACTGCTATGGGCACATAACCAATTTGTTACAGTTAGAGAGATCAGAAAAGGTCCCATTTGAGCCTCCATATGAGCTCCCTTTCCCCACTCATAAAGCCCTTTAGGACTGCCTGGCTGGCTCAGGGAATTTCTATGGGCTCTTCTTGCCTACCCTAATTTGAACCTTAATTCTTGCCTGGTGTCAGTGTTCTCCCTCTTTGCAGGATCCAGATTGATGACTCTGTTGAAAGTCTAAATTTTTACTGAAATTTTCACACCTATCCTCCTGCTCCAGGCAGCAACCTGGTGTAAGTAATAACGAGCCCTCATCTGGGAGCCCTGGAGTCCTCATCCGGCCCGGTCTCCATCGTTACTGGCCTTATCACCCCAAGAGGAAAGGAGCGCCAGGAGATCAAGCACTTTCTTTCCCATTACACAGAACAAACCCTCCCCCTCCAAACCGGTCTGTCACTTTGTTTAGAGCATGTGAGTAGATTAGCTGATTCTGGGGGAACTCTCTTGACTTAGCCCCCTAGAAGGAACTTGCTGGCTACTAAGACTGCCTCAGAATCTAGGGGAGAGTGGGTGTCTAAAACTAAACCTTACTTCCCCAACTCTTTAGGGTCAACCTGACTTAACATCTGCTTAACCAATATCTGACTTGCCACGACCTGGCACTGTCAGCTAATGCAAGAGAATGATGTCTCATCGACTCCTGGTCTGTCTGACTATATCCTAAATGGTATTATGGTTCTGTGAGTGCTGGAATATACAGGGGTTGCCAAAATAGCTTTACAGTTGTGACACAAATAATACAATAATTAATAAATAATTATACGAGAATAAACTGTTTCTTGTACTCACGACTGTAAACCTCCTTTGCCCACCACTGTACATTGCACTGTACACTGTAATCAATGAATGGAGTATCTTTGGTATAGATTGTGGTTCTCAACTTCAGCATGAACCAGAATCACCATGGGAGCACAGATTATTTGGCATTATTCCCAGAGTTTTAAATTCAGTAGGTCCTGTCTATGGGACCTAAGAATTCACATGTCTAACAAGTTCCCAGGAAATGCTGAAAATGCTGGTCTGGAGAATGCACTGTGAGAACTACTTGTGTTCATGAAAAACAAAGGTAGCCTGTTTAAACTTTAGAGCATTTCCTCTTTTAACTGAAATGAAGCTACATCTTTATATAAACTTAATTTTAGAAAAAAAATTACTTTTTTTCTGTAGAATCTGAACATGTTTTACTTTCTGTAACATTTCCCAGATTGGATAGCATACATATTTGGACAATCCTTGTATGAATAAAAATAACCGATCTAGGATGCTATGGCCTTCCTGTAGCTGTTTAAAATTTGTGAGAAAAATAATGCCACAGGTGTTTGAAAACAATGGGTCGGTGGCCTTCTAATGCCAAGGCTCCCTTTGGGGCCAGCTCGTTTAAAGACCCTGTCATTTAAAGCAACAGTTCCAGCTAATACCTCCTTGGAATTAACCATACTAATAATAGAGCACTTTGGGATGATTGTCCTGTGGTCACAATTTCACATTAACTACTTTACCTGGATTATCTTTCACATCAGTAAATTCATTTTTAAGCAAATGGTCGGCTGTGGAACAAAAGAGAATTGGCCACTGGAGTATATAGGTCAATGGCAGCCAGACGGGATCCAAACTGAGCAATCCTCATAAACCAACAGTAAGTGGGGATCCATGAATGACGGGCCATAAAAACTCAGATACACATGGGAGGCAAGTGCCAGTGATGCTCTATGAGTCTTTCTTTAGGAGGCATATTCTCCTAAGATCTTAAAATAAAGTATGATGGTAATGGAACTACAGAGAAAAGATTACTAGGATACTACACACACAATTTAATATTTGGTTCAACATTTCTCACAGGCTTTTATTGTTACGTGATTTGTAAGAGTGGATAAACACCGACATCTTGGTTTGAGTCTTGTTAAAGTTGTCCTTTTAACTATTGAGACGCTGGTTCTCCTTAAGTCTATGAAGTGGGAAGATCTAAGATCTCACAGTGTTTCTGACTAGAAGAACTATGAAAGTTTGAAAGAGAAGGAAGTTTACTATCACGTGTATTTGCTTTGCTTAGCTCTAGCCAGAACCATGTTGTAAGAGTTTAATGACAGCATAAAAATTTTCCAGGTAATTTTGCTAACTAATTGTATTATAGGAGCTTTTCTAAAGATCGGCCATTAGCCATGATCTCTCTCACAGATGGCTATACATTCAGCAGCTGAAACTGATACTCTCCTCATTGATTTTACTGCATCATATGCATTTCCCTTCAATATAATCCAGGTTCAGAAATTAAAAACCACCAGAATAATATCAATTCTAGTAAGTGCTATGCCAACACTAAATTATCACATCAAGTCTATTCTATAGCACCTTAAATTTCATGTCTGGTCCTTTGTGCATCAGGTGCCCCACATCCTCCTGCTATACCTTAAACTCCTTTTACCATTATTATTATTTATTTACTTTTTAACTTTTTTTTTTTGTGATATAGCAAAAATATTTATTAAAATAATTTTCTTCCAAGTTTGAACTTTATTGTAAGGAGTCCTTCTAAAACATTCTTTCATCTTGAATAAACAAGGTAACAAATACTACATCCAGAATATAATGCAATAATTAAAAAAAAAAAACTCTCCTAAAAATTAGTCCACATACTAGCACAGTGAAAGAAATGGAAATCTCCAGGGCCTTAGAGAATTCAAAGTGGCACCTTAGGTGACCTAAGAAACCAATTATATTCTTATAGTTTTCCTTTCAGTTCAAGATTAGAAGAGTTAGGATACCACGACCTGTTTTAAGAGGTAGAATTGTGCTTTTTACTAATGCACTGTTCACTGGTCAGTCTGGCCTTGACTCTCACACTTCAGCCCACCTGCCTTCGGTGATGGCCATATCGCCAAGCCCCAGGCAGCAAGGCTTCCTGATGTCTATTTAAGATCCATGAACCGGATATCCATGATGAGAAGGAAGTTCTTAGGCAGTGGGCGGGGGGCTGGAGAGAGAACGGTAAACACCTGATGCTCCACATCCACACTGGTCACCACAATGAAGCCAGCCACACTAGTCTCAGAAAGGTTCTCCTCTGTGCCCTCAGCAGTGCTAACACTCAGGAGGTGGTGCACCATATCTCGGCCAGGGGTGACAGGTACCAGTTTGAGTTGATTGTCCTCCTGAGACATGCCCAATGGCAAACAGGAGTCTGGGATGGTGGGAGCCCCAACTTTGTAGATTTTCACATCCGAAAATTTGACATTGAAGGCATGGGGATAAAAACAGCCCCGGAATCCATAGAAATACTCACGAATACGCTCATCCCTACATTCTCGCCGGAAATCCTTAGAGCGCTCAACCACACCCCCTGATTTAGGGAGCAACACAGTGCGTACAAAGTGAGGCAGGTCCCGTTTCAGTTCATTGTACAGTCGTTCTTGATCTAGAACCACAACGACATCTACCTCAAAGGCTGAGGCTGCATGCACCAGGGCGTGGTAACCAGAGCCCTTGACCCAGCCACAGGTGTTAATGACACAGCCAGTCACAGAGGCCCTTCGGTTCACTTCACACCATTGGTTGAACACATCTGCTAAACTTTTCAATTACAGTTTATGGTCAATATTATTTTGCATTTGTTTAAGCACAGTAGTTAGTCATATACTTTACAAAGTGCTGCCCCCTGATAATTCATGTACCCATCTGCTACCGTACATAGTTATTACAATATTATTGGCTATATTCTCTATGCTGTACTTTTATCCCTGTGACTATTTTATAACTACCAGTCTGTACCTCTCAGTCCCTTGGCCTTTTTTACCCAGCCCACCAAAGCCCTCCAGGCGGTGCTTGAACAGTGAGGCCAGGGGCAGGGCAGGTCGCAGTAAAGGGGCAGGTGAAGATGGCCGCTGTGGAGTGGGCAGTGGAGAAGGTGCAAGGGACTCCAGAGGCTTGCGCGCTGGGAGGCAAGCTGAGGGAGGAGGAAAGAGAGGTTTCCTGGACATAGGAAACACAATGTGAAAGATACCATTTGAAAAGATTTAGAACCTTGGGTGCAAAAAAAATCAGTCAAAAGATCTTAATGTCTGTTTGTATGTGTTTCCTTTGTCACATAATACCTATTAGGGCAGTCTACTCATGCATCAGTAGTGATAATATATTTGATGCCAAGGTTTGGAGAAAGTCTCCTAAATTGACAAGTATAAAGACCAAGTGTAGAAGTAGTGACGGGCTTAGTAGCATCTTAAATATTTCTAAAGTTTTAACATTCTGGGTCTGCCAGTCCCTGTGAATGCATTTGTATGCCTCAGGGATATTTTACAGGTTTCCGTCTTTAAATTAAAAAAAAAAATCTGGCATTATAAATGCTTTGACTAGACCTTTTAATTTAGTGTTTGAAGCTATACAGCCCACAGTAATGAACCCTTCCTAACGTCCAAAACTGTCCAGGCTTTGAGTACTTACAAACCCTGCTGAGAAATAAAAGAGGTAGGAATCTGTCAGCTTGCATTACTCCATTTGGTCCAACTGGCAAATACTTCTTAATACATCTAAACTATCTGGATTAACAAGGTGCTGCAGGGGCCATGCTGCTGTATGTCTCTTGGTTTCCTTGTTGACACATGCTAATAAGTAAATGAGAGGGTCATAACAGTTGGTCAAATTCTGGGCTTAGAAAATGATAAATTCTACAAAATTTCTCATAAAGGGAAGAAAGCTTGCTATTTAGAGATGGTGTTTATCTGTGAATCACATTCCATATAACCACAAAAAACCCCACAAATACATGACACACTGTCAAGTGAGCTGAGTAAACTCTTGAGACCTTTTAGGCGACAGGTGTTGAACACTTGTAATGAGATTTCCATGCATCTTCAGAGGAAGGAGATAAGATTCTAGCAAGAGCTATTCAGAGTGTTACCGATCGTGGCCGAGGGAATGATTCTCAGTAAGGAGCACAGAGAAGGACAAGCTACCTAAAATGCTCTGTTTGCTCAGGAGGTGCTTATGTTCTTGCTAAGAATTTTCACAGAAGGCAAATATTTACCAAAAAAGCAGCTTTGGAAGAACATAAAATAATTTATCCAGATCCTGTGGGAGCTGGGATATATTCAATTAAGTACTCCTCATGTACTTCCCTGTAAAATTACCACTTATTTTATGAATATTCTTTCTTCTGAATCTGTACATCAAAATATGATTTGTGGAGCTGTCATAGCATCATTGCAGAGCATGTGTCTTTTTCAAGCATAAATGATTGTCTGACAATTCTATGTAGAAAATAAAGTAGAACATGCTGTGCTTTATAAGAAAGTTAAAGCAATTTTATCTCAACTGAAATAGAGAGTAAACAAACTTGGAAAATCATCAAGGAAGCAAAAAGGTCAAATATTAATTGGCAACAGTTAGGATAAAGAGAAATGCTAAATTTAGAGAGGTAGATATTTCCTTCATTACACTGAGGTCCCTTACTTTGTCTGGAGACATGTTTCTACCGGAGAAGAATTCAGCTTATTTTTATCCATGTAGCTCTTCTTTCTAACATCACCTCCTAAACAACCAACCCTTTCCCTGCTGCTTTTTGATCTCACTTTACTATAGATTAAGTACATAAGGCTCCCATATACACAGTAGGTCCTTGAATAATGTCATTTTGCTCCACGCTGTTTTGTTACATTGATGAAATTAGCCCTTGTTTATATCAATTAGCCTATGGTAAAACTGGTTGCATTGTATGTTGTCTGGCTTAACATTGCAGAACCTATTGAGAATATTAAGTGTGGACTTAGTTTATACGAGTCTGTCTCTACATTTCTATTCTGTGTATCTACCTTACTGTGGGCCTTGGTGATAGTCTTGTAACTTTTCTTAGTATCTGGTAAGGCAAGTCTCCATACCCCGTTTTTGTTTTTGTTTTTTTTTTAAGTTGACTTAAAATTTAAAAACCACTTAAATTTTAAAGTAAATTTACCAAAGTCTTTAACAGAACAGGTAATTCTAATAGACATTGCAGTGAATTTATAGATTAATTTGGGAGGAGAGTTTGTATGTTACACTATCAAGTCATCCCTCTTAAAGTCATGCATTGACTTTACATCTACTTCAATTACTCTCTATAACCTTTACTTGAGTTTTAAAACTTTCTTTAAAGAGGTCTAGGAAGTTTTTTGTGCTTTTAGTAAAGTTAATTCCTGGACACCTTATAGGTTGGCTGTTCCTATGAGAGGTACCTTATTATCATTTCTATTTTCTAGCTACTTGATTGATGGTATGGAGCAGCAGTTCTCCCTGTGGTCTGCAGACCATGGAGGATCTCCAAGACCTTTAGAGGATCTGCAAGGTTCAAACTGTTTTCATAATAATACTAAGATGGTTTGCCTTTTTAATTCCGTTCTTCAGCTGATTCATTCTGTAGCCTATCTTTTCTATAATTGTATTATTTTCATATCCAGTATTTCTACTTGTTTTTTTAATGACTTCTTATTCTTATATTATATTGAAACATCTTCCTGTATTCCCTTGAGAATACTTATTATGCTCAATTTAAATTCTTGTTCTGTAAGTTCTACATACCATTTAGTTTATTGTCTTTTATAGGGACTATGCTCCTAGGAATCTAGTTATTTTGGCTTGAGAACTCATGATTGCTTGCAGGTACTGATGATGGGACGATGCACAGGCTCTTGCCTGGGTTCCTTGTTGGACTTTGATGAGAGAGAAGTTTAAGGTCTGGAGCAGAGAGTCCCAGGCAATACAGAACCAATATGATAATCTCCTTTTCCTATTTACTCATTAGGCAAATCCTACTGATAGGCAGTCACCATGAATCTGTTTGATACAAAGCAGCAGCATTTGGCCAACAGTCTCCTTAGGTTGCACTTCACTAGGCTAAGGGGTTTGATTGCGAGTGAAGAGGTGATTGTCTGAGGGTGTCTCAGCCTGTTCCTGTTTCCAACATCTCACTGTAGCACAGCTGCAACCCTGTCTTGACAACACTACCAAAACTGGACACCGGGCAAAGGTAAGGAAATGATTATTCAAAGGCAAAACCAAGAAGAGGCAATAGAATGTAAAGATTTTCTCCCTTCTACTCTCCCTTTGACCAGCCATGCTGCAAGCTGGTGTAACTCCACCAGAAAGGTTAGTGAGATTCGAAGCTCGACTTCTTGGGGCAGAGAACTGAATATGAATGAAATGTAGCTGAGTGTATATAGTCTGCCCTCTGTATCCAAGGTCCCGCATCTGTGGATTCAACAAATTGGGGATAGAAAACCTTCAGGGAAAAACTGTTCCATTGTTGCTGATGTGTAGTAGGTAAATTAAAGGTATACAATGGCTGCGTTCTACTGAACATGTGCAGACTTTTTTCCTTGTCTTTATTTCCTAAATAATAAAGTATAAAAACTTTTACATAGCATTTACATTGTATTAGGTATTACAAGTAATCTAGAGATGATTTAAAGCATACGGGAGGATTGTTTAGGTTATATGCAAACACAATGCCATTTTACAAAGGAACTTGGATTTCATGGATTTTTGTATCTACAGGGGGTCCTGGAACCAATCCCCCTTGGATACCAAGAGATAGCTGTACACTGCTCTTTGGATGGCAGCTGCAAAGAGATGTATAGTTCAGATTAGGGCATTTTTAAAAAAGATTACATGGTTATAGATTGAAGAATGAAAGATACGCACCTCTACATATGTAGAAAGAAGGCAGAGATAAAAGCCACAGGAAAAAGAAGAGACATATGGTGAAGTAAAATCCATCCAGGAAGAGATGGGTAGAATTGGGGTCAATAACACAGGTGGAAGAGTCAGCCTTGAAGAGGAAGACATTCAAAGCCCCTGATGCTGGAGAACAGGAGATACGGGTAACTGGAGCCCGTAGGTTTTAGGTATGGAGCTAGAGAGCTGAGTTCTGTGAGTATTATGCTTACAAGGTTGAAAGGAAGTACCTGCTCTCAAACCCTAAGTTATGCATTGTTTAAACTTAAGATCCAGTTCCTCTGATAGCCTGATTTGAAAAGAGAGAACATTGAGACTGAATCAAGTTTTCATTTTTTTAATGGGATTAGCTGTGATCATCCCTCATTGAGATTGCCCTTGTCTATTATAACTCGCCCTACAAAAATATATTAAATTAAAATAAATAGAGAAAGGATGGATGACTCATTGACAAAGACTGTGGGTCAAGGAAAGTGCCCCTTGTTTAGGTCACTGAACACCTCGGCAGAGGCTGATAAGTCGTCTGAGCTGGCAACGTACGTTCCAACCGAAGGGTGGAAAGCCAAAAGCGGAGTGCCGCGTGACAGTGCTACCGGAAGCTGTTTTACACGGACTAATGCTTTCGCAGAATTCAGCTCAGATCAAACAGGAAGGGTGTTAAAGGAATGCAGACTCAGAACCAATTCTACAAGGAGAGAGCTCCGTGTCCTTAAATGTCTTCATGGGTTGTCTGGAGTTGACAGAACGCCTGTCCTTTCCTTTGGTCACCAAGGCCCCGCGAGTGCTGCAAGCATTACTGTCACGTCGCCGTGGGTGTCCGTGGCGATCCTCGTATCCTCACCTGACTTTTCACTTAGTTGGTTAGTTACCTGAGTGTGTAAAGAGTGACTGTGACACGGCACAACACCCTTTTCCTTTGTTTTAAGCTAACTGAAGGTACACACAGAGCTTTAAAGCTCTGCCATACATAAGCCAATAGTGTCTTCATTTGCCTCTTCTAGTCAATAATCCTCGCAACTCCTGCTTATTATGTCCCTAAAACATCTTTTGATACATAGAAATTAATCTGGCAGCATTGCCATGAGCTAACTAACTGGTGTGAATGCAAACTATATAATGTTGGGTTGTTGTCTTGAATGGCTAGTGAGGTGCGGGAGAAAAGCTGGGCAAATAAACAGACAAGAAATCCTCATTCATTCCAGATCAGAGGTGGAAAAGCCTATAGTGATTTGTAATCCTTACATAGTGCTTAAAAGGGAATATGGTCTTACTACTTTGCGGTGTGTACATTACACAGATTAAGCTAATGGTGTAACAAGCAAGTGGTATTAAAGACATCTAATTCAAAATATTGATGAGAACATATTGGTAAGAATAATTTAAAATTAATATTTCAATTGTGTCAAATTAGATGACGGAAATCAAAGTAATTTATTGTTATCAGAAAAAAATCCTCTTAGGTAATTTAAATAGTTCATTGGCCATCTGAAAAATACTCATAAGCTTTTCTTTATATAAAGTACAAAAATAAATTTTACCTTGGTCCCTATCCGGATGATCACAGACACGAAATCAGTGTAGCTCGAGCAACGAATTTTTTAGTGTACATAAACATACTTTACAGACTAAAAACATTTTATGGATTTATATGATATTGTTGAATATTGTAATGAAAAAGACAAGTCATTCTTCATTTTAGAACCAGATATTGTGTCAATTTGTCCCTAAATCACTAGGTGACTCAAAAGCAGAAATGAAGTCCCTTCTATACACACATGTCCTTAAGCAGAACAGATTTTATTTATTTATTATTCTTTGCTACTCTGACAACGGAGTGCTAAATTAAAATGCCACCCAGATGGCAAACACATCCTAATGACGTAAGGACTGCCACAGTGCAACTTCTCCTCTCAGAGAAAGTCAGCAGCCAGCCGGTCCTCTGGGAAAGCATCTCCATCCTGCTCGGCTGAGACAGAAAATGAGAGCACTGGGGGTTACTGAGCCCCAGGCAGAGCCCTACTGCACAAAGACCTTGCCTGTTCATTCCGCGCTACCTTTTCTTTAGGGCACTTCCACGTTCCTGGATTCACAGTAAACCAATGAAGTACTAAATCTATGCAAGAGATCTCAAGTCAAGGCAAGCTCTAAGTTGTGGTTCTCACGTCTTCTATTGTAAGTCACTATATGATATGTAGTTTTCAGGAGAAAGATGGGACTGTTATTAGATATTATGGTTGTTGTCTATAAGACATTCCTCAAATTGAAGAACAAATTGTTTCTTCTTTAAAAAGAGCATCAACTGGCATGTGATTAAAAAATCAATTAGGAAAATGAAGTTTCAGTATTATTTTGAATCTTAGATAACAAATAAAAAGGATCTTACTATTACATAAATAGCATAGCTAATGATGAAATTAAACCCAAGAAGAAAACTAGCTGATTTTATGACAGCGTAAACCTCAAACATTTCTTAAAATTAAAAGAAAACAAAAACAAACAGCTTTAAGGGTCGTATTGGAATGTAGATAAAGGACTAATGGACAAAGCCAAAGGCAGGTAGGATTGAGGGAGGGAGGTGGAGGTCGGTGGAATGGGGGAGAGTGGTGGGTCGGGGGGAAATGGGGACAACTGTACTTGAACAATAAAAATATTAAAAAATTAAAAAAACAGCCTTCTCAAAATTTTATGTTCTAAAAATAAACTGTCTGTTCTCATCAAACACATGCAAGTAGTTCCCAAAAAAGGAAAGAAGGCACTTAGACAAAGTTCATTTCTTTCATCTATTTTAAAGTTGTAAAATCCTTTAATTCTGCAAATTTATGCTGCCAATGGGGAACTTGAATTCCCAGGAATGAAAGAGAATAATGACTCACAACTGAGCATCATGTTGAATTATGGGAACCAAAACAGGTTAAATTACTAGATATTGTTAATGCAACTGTGATCTATAACCTCTGCCCCTTGCTCTTCCCCCAACAAGTTCACTTTTTACATCTTTTCCATGTTGTTATTTTTAAATGGTTACTTTTTCTTCTTTTATTGTTAATTATTCAGTGATTGGTTTGAATGACCTTTTGCAAGCCAGCTTGCCAGTTTACAGATGTTTTCTCTGCTATAAATAGCGTGATCACTTTTTGTGCCATATACTCATTCATTTACTCAATAAATATTTACTGAGTACTAAATATGTGCTAGGCACTTTTTTTGGCACTGGAGATGAAGCAATTATTAAAATTCTAAAGCCCTGTCCTTGTGGGGCTACCATTCTAGGACAACAGTTGGGTGAATGAACTATATCATATGATAAACTGTAGTGATAGAGAGAAAAATAAAGCAGGGAAGTGGAGACTCTCTGAGTTGGGGGGAGGTCACACATTTTAATGTTTCAACACCTGGCCCTGAAGATGTGTAGGGAAAAATATAAAGATCCAGATTCTAGAGGCCAACTCAGACTTACACTAGGAACCTGCGTTGTCCAATTCAGCAGCCGCTAGCCACACATGGCAAATGAGGACCTGCAAAGGGGCTACTCAACTGAGATGGGCTGTGAGAGTAAAATACACACCGAATTTCAAAGATAGCATATGACAAAAGTAATGTTAACTATTTCAATAATTTTATATATTGAATATATTTTACAGTGATAACATTTGGGATACATTGGGTTAAATAAACCATGTTCTTAAAATTAATTCATCTGTTTCTTTTTACCTCTTTAAAGTGACAACCAGAAAACTTATATGGCTTCTGTAAATTTCTGTGGAGAGTGCCATTCCAGACTCCTTCCCACTGTGTTTTAGTTGAATGCAAACTTAGCTATTCAAGCTTACTAAGAAAGGGGATGGAGGAAGAAATAGGAAAATAAGAAGATAGCTCTATTATTATATAACAGTTAGACAGTGGTTCTAATCTCCCACCAATTAGCTATGTGACCAGAGCCCAGCTGGTAGCTAGAAACCTCTCTGTTTCAGATTCCTGAAAAAGTAGTAATAATAATGGTATTTATTATAAAGAGTTGTAAGGAATGAGCGGCTACATATAAAGTGCACATAAAGGTTGATTATTAAATATAACTATTTTTGGAAAAAAAAACGACTTTTGTGATGTGGCTGAGTGTTTATTAAAAAATGCTATTGCTTCCAATCAGATGGCCGGGGAGGCAGGGCCGCCAGTGGAGAGCGGATAAAGAGGGCTCTGGTGTCTGAGAGGTATGGGTGCGAATCTCGGGCATGTTGAATTTTAAGAGCGAAAGAGAAAAGAAAAAGTCACTAACTTTTTCTAGTCTCAACTCTTTTGTAAAACATCTATTTTGAAGAGTTGTTTCAGGAACTACTGCAGCAATATAAATAAAAACACTTTGGGGCAATAGGCAGTCAATAGATGACAAAATTATGACAAATCTTGGGCAGAATTTTACTCTTTTCTACAAACTAACAACAGATAATGACTACAATGCTCAAGAGAGTGCCATTTGGAAGTCTTAAAAAGCATTTGCACTCTTACACATGTAATTGATATTCTCAATTTTAAAAACACCCCCAAAACATTTCTAAGTAACCCTGTAAACTTGCAACCAAATGCAACCACAGGAATATAATCACATTTCTTAAAAACCTCTCTTCTGTTACTTGAGAACATTCTTCAATTGAGATTAGCTTCCCCCTCCATCCACTTAAATCACCGAGACTACACTGATTGTTTTTCTCTTCTCTAGGCAAGCGTTTAATCTTTAAAAGGTGTTTTTCCTAGAGTCAGGCTGTGCAGGTGGGCAGTGGTGTGGATGTTACATGTGTATGAAGTGGGGCATGTGGGGACAGCAAGCTTCCCTTCCTGACCTCCTTAACAGAACAGGGCAACAGCCTCTGCCCCATCCTTCAGGTAGGTGTGCCACGGCCCCTTTGTATTTCACAGGGGAAGTGGGTCTCTGTGGATGGGGATCAGGACACCTGACTCTGGTCCCAGCTGGCCTGCTAATTTACTCTCTGGCAGTGGGAAAGCCTCTAACAACCCTGGACTTCCATGCAAACTATAAAACCGAAATGTTCTGGGGGATAAAAATGCCATAAGAGGTTTTGGAAACATTTGTTAACGAGCATGGCACTGTTGGTAGCACAATGGGCTGTCATAAATGGGACCGGCAGTCTCAGATGCTTTCTAATTTATTTTTTCTAAAGTGTACTTTAGCGATCATTGCAGGTGTGGTCTTTCCCTGCAATGACCTTTTGCATGGCTCTGAGTGTCTTGTTCCTGACTATT